ACTGTTGGCTCGGTCAAAAATGTATTTCTGTCAATGTTGTGCGTTGTTTCTCGATTGATGTATTCATGTTCATACTTATTTGAATCTGTTCTACATGCTCTTTCCTTTGATATTACGCGCTTTCTATCTCCTTCATACCATGAAAAGTTTTTTTCTCGAGAATTCTCTTTTTGGTTCGGGCGATCAAAATATTTTTTTTCCATTTTCGATTCTTCGTTTTCTCAGTAAGACGTAGATGTTCATATTCGTTCGCTTCGGTTTCTCGTGCTATTCCCAAATATGGTACGCGCTCTCAGTTTCGTTGATCATGCGAAAAGTTTTTTTTTCCGGAATCTTCTCCTGTTAGCGCGACCGAAACTTTTTTTCTGTCAAAGTTGAGCCTTGTTTCTGAATTAATATATACATGTTTGTACTCATTTTAATTAGCTTTTCATTCTATCTCCAACTGTGGTATGCGCTCTCACTTTCGTTCTTGTTTAGAAAAAGTTTTTTTTGTTTTTGAACCGTTGGAGATATAGACCGACCATACTGGGAAATAGGAGAAAAGGGTTTCCGCTGATTGGTGAGTTCATCTTCTTGTTTCTCCTTATATGGTTTGATTCTGCTATGTATGTATTGTTGTCAATCATTTCGTTTTGAATAAATATTTTGAAATCAGAATGTCTTTGTGTTTNTTGTTGTCAATCATTTCGTTTTGAATAAATATTTTGAAATCAGAATGTCTTTGTGTTTGTTATTGGGAAGAGGGAGGGGGAGCAGTGAGGACTTGGGCTGATTCGAGTGGAACAAGGCGGACTGTGATCTCAGTTATCTCATCAATAATTGACTGTCCATATATGGCATTTTTTGGAAATAAAGTGTGGCAGGATAGCCGAGTGGTATACAGGGGGATCTCACAGGAACATGGTTGGTTCGATTCCCGAGGAAACTTCTACTGGCCCGAAGAAAGTAAGTCAGAAACGACCCCCCCCGGTCAGAGGAGGGGGTTATCTCAATATCGAATACTAATTGTTTCTAATTCCAGGCATACATCAAGGAGATTTGAGCTAGCGTGTTATAACTAACCGTCCATGAGTTTGCCAGACTCTTAGCTCAAATCTCCATCGGAAGGGCTGTGGTGCTGAGCGTAAAAGAGTCTGGCAAAGGGCGGTTGGGTTTTAGAAAATTTTGGAAAAAATTAAAAAAAAATTTGGCATGACCCCTCTCCTTTTTGAGTTTTTTGGGATCAAACTTACCTCCTTCTGCTTCAGCTACGGCTTCTGTCCAGTCTGGAATTTGTCTTTTCTTTGTATTTCACTGTGTCTCTGTGTTTCTGTTTTGATTTCAATGATTCCAACAGTCATCAACNCCTTCTGCTTCTGCTACGGCTTCTGCCCAGTCTGGAATTTGTCTTTTCTTTCTATTTCACTGTGTCTCTGTGTTTCTGTTTTGATTTCAATGTGTCCAATCGTCATCAACCCCTGGTACCGAATGATCTGATAGCCTCTTCTATCAACCAACCCAAATGAGAACTACGATGAAAATTACTGAATCAACATGCGCATAGCAGATTAGAGAAGAGCACAAGAAACTGAATCGAAAGAATACAAACATGAATGTGTTGAATAAGAAACAAGACATAGAGAGGGGAAAACAATTTTTGGTCACCTGATCCAAGAGTAGGTTCGAGAAAAAAAACATATCTTGCGATCGACCAAATGCTAAGCGCATACCATAATGAGAAAGGAAATGAAAAACCAAATTGAAACAAATTCAGCATGAGGAGCCAATTCAAATAAGTATAAACACGAAAGTATGAATTGGGATACAAGGCACAACATTGACAAAAAATATTTTTTGGTCGCGCTATCAGGAATGGATTTTAGGAATAAAAATTTTCCCCGTGATCAACGAAACTGAAAGCGCATTCCATATTTGGAGAGAGCATGGAAAGCTGGTTAGAATGAGTACATATATGAATGCATCAGATAGGAAACAAGGCTCAAAATTGGAAAACATACTTTTTGGTTGTGCTGAGAGGAGAAGATTTCGGAAAAAAAAAGTTTTCTGGTGATCAACGAAACTGAAAGCGCATACCATATTTTAAGAGAGCATGAGGAGCTGATAAAAATGAGTATGAACTTAAAAGGATGAATTAGAAAACAAGGCACAACACAAGCGAAAAACATTTTTTGGTCGCTCAGAGAGAAAAAGATTTTGGGAAAAAAATTTACCCGTGATCGACTAAATGCTAAGTGCGAACCATAATGAAAAAGAAAATGAACAACTGAATAGGATGATCATAAGCAAACAAAAATATAAGCGAATGAATACAAACGGTAATTGAGAAAACAAGGCACAGAGTAGGGAAAAACAACTTTTGGTCGTGTGAACCAAGAGAAGGATCGAGAAAAAAACGTTTTTCAACAAAAACGAAATAGGAAGCGCATAGGATAACTACAAAGAGAATGAGAAACTGAACAAGAAGAATATGAACATGAGTGTAACGACTAGTAAACCATATAAGACTTTGAGGACAGAGCGAAACTAACAGGACTAACAGGGTCAACTTGATAGAGAGAAAAGAAAATAATGAAAATGAAGGAATATGCTGACAAAGAGGTAAAAACGCAAAAGGAGCAGAAGAGTTTTCAAATTGCACTGGATAAACAACACCATAAGGACTGAGACAGGAAATCAATCGATAACCTGTAAGTTAACGATAGTAGGAGTAATTGGGAGAAATCGATGAAAACGAAAGAGGGAAGGAGGGTGAGCTCAGACTACAACAACTGACTACAAAGAATGTACCGAAAGGTTGATACACTAAGAGACATTAAAGGGTATACAGGTGCGACAGTAGAAACAGTTATACGAGGATGCGAAAACAGAAGGGGACATGCATTTTGTTTTGAAAGCAACAAATGAACATCATATTCGAGTTTGAAATGAAATTCTGATCTTAAATAACCCAAAAATCA